GGGCGCTGTGTCTCCAGACTTGGGTTTGATGGGAACACGCTAAAGGGGGTCTGATACCGTAACCCCCGTAGCACCCAAGCTAATTGTTTTAAACAAAGGAGAGTGGGTGCAGCTCCCGGAGGAGAGAAAGTCTTGGAGGAGCGGTGCCTTTCGGTGCGTGTGTCCACAAAGCAGAAGGGTGCGGAGTTCTCCACGCTCGGATCCTCAGGTTGGGCCGAACGACTTCCTCTTTTTGTTTCTGGAACGCTCGCCCTCAACACACACACACCCTCGGTTTGGGGTTTGCGTCAGGAGCCCCCGCTCGGCTACGTGCAGTCTCCATGTTTCCCTGGACTGGATTTTTTCGAGGCCCTTAATACCCTCTCTGCTGGGAGCCGAAGCAGCCCTGCCTGTGCCCTCACGGTGATTATGCAGCGGTTACAATTACACCTCTTGTCTCCCTTGATGAGCACTTGCAGTTAGATGCCATTGGATCTTGTGTGATTTCAGTGGCAGACCATAATTAAAATTTCTTGCACCTTGTGCTTTCAGAATTAAATTGGCCTATTATCCCTGTTTGACCTTCATCCTCTTTGAGGTTTTTGCACACGCAGCGAACCATTACACGTAGTTTCCTGGTGTTTGTTGGCGTGTTTCTTTTTCTTTTTCCAAAGTCGATCTCCTAGCCTTGACGAGCCCATTAGCTGTGGTGTAGGTTTCCTGGGCACTTTTGGAACTAGCGTGATTTCTGGGACCCTACTACCCGGCCGAAGGTCCAAAGGCCCTGGTGAGTTACTGCAGGATCGGAGCAGTTGTCTCTTCGACGCCAGGTTTGTCTGGAGTAGTGACCAGGGTTGTTTCTCCCTAGGAATTTGGTTAGGGACCATACTTGACAGAATCCTCAACAAGTCATTTGTAGGTGCTAACTGTAACTAGATCCCCTCAATTAATAAACTGCTTTAGTTCCAACTTCCCTTGGGTAAAAAAGTCTGTGCATTGCACTTCCTGGGGGGAATTGTACAAGTTTACTGCTAAACTCCCCTCCTTTCTCAGTGGCAAAGAACATTCCCCAGTTCAGACTAAACAGACCAGATTCAACCCCTGCTTAATCTTCCAATTAAAGAGTAAATTTTTTTTTTCTCTCTGAAACAAATCTAGGAACTTGGGTAGGACCCAAATTTGGATAATAAATATCAGCAAAGGTACGTGATATGCTTTCCCACCCTACTTCCCTGAGTTGGGAGACAGAGGAAACAAGCAAGGAATAGCAACAAAGTGTGCAAGTGGAACCAGTAGACGAAGGAACAGTAGTTAGTTCTGGAAAGTCAAGGTAAAGTTCGGAGGGCACCTCCTCTGCTCTCACAGTGAGAGAAGTCAGATGTCCTGGGGGTGTCTCTGATGCATCTACGGCAAGCTAAGTGAGAAGAGGACCTGTTTGTTCAGAGCTGGCCAGGATATATGTTTCTTTTTTGATCTCCGTTTTTCCCCATGAAAGGAAATGTGGCAATTTAGGAAGAGGAGAATATAAAACTCCTGCTTGTGAGAGTGTAAGTACCACACACCACGCAAACAAATAAATATACAACGCTGAAACAGACTGCCACCTCTCCCAAACAACAGCGACAAACCAAGAGCCCAAAGTAACCAGACAAGTCAGGTAACCACCAGGCTTCAGGCTGCTCGTTGGTAGAGGAATGAGTTTAAGGTCCCCTTTGGTTCTTTCAGTTCTAAAATTGCATAACTCTTTGAGTACTTGGAAAGTTTATGTATGATAGTAGACAGCTGTTCTGTGGCAGGCTTCTAGAATTGATGGAGAAGATGTAAACATTAAAGCAAATAGGAAGGACTGGACTTTGGTTTAGCATAAAGACTCATCTACCTCAATGTCCTTACCAAAAAAAAAAAATTTTTTTTTTTTTGCTTTGTTTGTCCTTCTTGTGCCAGTGTCTATATACTGCCAAACCTTTAATGAGGTTTTGCAGAAGGGCTCAGAAGTCAAGACCCTATAATGGTAGAACTTGGAATATTTACGGATTCACTGATATATATCATGCTTTTGTAAAAACTTTGAGCCAATGTGAAGTCATGCATCTCATTGTTTTATGTATTCAGAAGGTTTCTTGAGTGGCTAGCATTTTTAGTATTTAGAATTCATTCAAAATGTAAGAACCCCCGAAGGAAAATAAAAATATATTTAAAGATATACTGTAATCCTTGTCATCCTTAAAAATAAGCCTGCAGAAAATTTTAAAAATCGTTTTCCTTTGATTTCACGTTTGATGGATTTATCTCATGGAGAGGCAGCTGTGGGGGTGGCGAAAGAGGGGAGAGGAAGGAGACCATGTGCCCTGAAACAAGAGTGCAGTCGATTAAAAATCATGAACTTGAATCCCTGGCCCATTATGTGCAATTTACTCAGCTTCAAATTAGTCATGTCTAGGGAATATAATGGTTGAAAAAGCAGGTCACTGTTCCCGCCTGTTCTAAAACTGTTAAGAGTATGAAGATCAGGACTGGATGAATAGAAAATTGTTGGGTGGTTGTACCGTACCCATAACAGAATATTCCAAACTTCAACTCTAAATAAGTATCAGCAAATCACTTACTATTAGTTCTTTGGGAACAATCACGGTTTCTTTCAAAAGGTAACATGTGAGTGGCCTTTTTTTTTGTTTTTTAATACTGAGAATATAATGTATATTGTATAAGACGTACATACCCACATATTAATGAGTTTTCTGAAATTGTACATGGATTTATCTGTTTCTTTCAATGATATAGCCCACACTTTTGTGTTATTATTGTTTAAGTGGAAACTATTGATGGTCTTAACTGTGGCTCATTCATGTGAGCTTTTGTTTCTGCTTCTACTGTTTATTAGGAAGTTACTGAATTTTAAGAAATTAAATAAAATTACAGTTACGCAGAGTATGTACATGTTTGTTTCCCAATATATCAGGTTTTAATTGTGTTGCATTTATTATACTTTAACATATATTAGTTACATAACAGTTACAATCCTGCATGCAGTATCTCAGTGTCTGATGAGAAACCTGAAAAGCACGAATTGATTGATTTCTGGTTGATGTTAGTTCATGTTTTTCTACATTTGATTTTTATTTTGTAAAATTTTACACCTGACTAAGCCGTGTCATTTTTGTTGTTGTTGTTCACTGCTAGAAGTAGCCAAGGTGATTTGTAGAAGGACTGTGCAACCTCACAAATTCATCTTTTAAAGAGTGGGACACTTTTTCTGTAATTGAGATTCCATTATTTGACTTCTGAAATACTAAACGATTTGGCTCTTGAAATGAAGTCATGTTTGTGCTGACAATCTCTAATCTCCTTTTCATCTGGTTGCTCTTCTAGTACAGCCTGTCTGGCCTTCCAGTGGAATTTTCCCTTTTCCTATTACATGGGACAAACATTTTCTTGAGGTAATAGTGTTACGTGTGGATTTTTAAGGGTTTCAAGTCCCCTGCCTGAAA